AGACAGATGGCATATAAACACATGAAAAGAGACTCAACATTATTTGTCATTAGGGAAATAAAAATTAAAACTACCACATACCACTTTGCAGCTATTAGTATGGCTAAAATCCAGTATCACTGATTATAGTAAATGCTGGCAAAGATGTAGAGCAACAGAAATTTTCATCAGTGCGAGTAAGGTTACAAAATGGTAAAGCTACTTTGGAAGACACTGTTTCTTATAAAGTGTACAAATGCTTATAATGGCTTTATTTATAAATCACTAGAACTGGAAGCCACCAGGATGTCTTTGACAGTGGAATACTGTTTGGATAAACAGTATTCAGCAATAAAAAGGTACAAGCTATTGATTCACAAAACAACATGGATGAATCATAGATGTGTACTATAAAAAGGTTTATATTTTATGATGCACTCATGCAACATTCTGGAAAAGGAAAAGCATAGGGGCAGAAAACAAATTGGTAGTTGACAGGGGTTGTTGCACAGGAAATTGGCTGACTTAAAGAGGATGCACAGAGGAACTTTTCAGGTGAAAGAATCATTCTGTGTGGTACTGGTGTGGTGGATACTAACTGTGCATATGTCAAAACCCATAGATCTGTAAATCACAAAGAGTGAACATTACTGGGTATAAATTGAAGAAAAAGGCATCAAAATAAGGATCAATTCTAAGACAGAATCCAGATTAGGACAAATGAACCTAATTCTATAACAAATAAATGACATAACATGGGGGAGAAGGGTGAAAGGAGTATCCTAAGTAATTTTGGAAAAAAATTTTGACTGGAAACTAAGGATAAAGATGAAAGATACATAAACACTACACTAATTGGTAGATTTGTTTTCCAACCAGATACTGGTTAAGAATTCTGAGACTATTTTATATAGATATATATCTGGAAAGACTTCAACCATTAATAATATAACAATAATGGTTTGCACAACATCAGTGTAACCTGGCAGCCAGGGAGAGTGGACTAGAATGCCTGCATGTGAACAAAAACAACTTCTCTGTACTAGTCAGTGGGGGGCAGTAGGAGCTGTTGAGTGAGCATGTATACTATGTGCCCATCACATTCAAATTGACTGAGCAAGTAGAGCAACAAATCTGCATCATTTTTGTGTTAAGCTTGAACATTCCTGCTTGGAAACTATTCAGATAATTCAGGAAGACCATAGCTACCTGCAGCCGGTGATTGGCAGCTTCATCACAGCAGCACTGCCACTCAAGCAGCACCTCTCATGTAGAGTTTTTTTGGCAAAACATCAAATCACCTAAGTGGCTTGGCTCCCATACAGCCCAGATTAGGTGCCTTGTGACTTCTGGCTTTGCCCCAAACTAAAATCACCTTTGAAAGAGAAGAGATTTCAGACCATTGATGAGATTCAGGAAAATATAACAGGGCAGCTGATAGCAATTGGAAGAACTGTGTGAGGTCCCAAGGTGACTACTTTGGAGGGGACTGAGGTGTCATTGTCCTATGTACACTGTTTCTTGTATTTTCTTCAATAAATGTCTCTGTTTCTCATAGTACATGGCTGGATACTTTCTGGAAGTTACAGATAAGAAATGATGGTTAGAATGAACTCTCGTTGAGTTAGAGTTGGAAACTCATGTTTAGCTTAGTATATATATGGATGGATAGAAAACAAACAATTGTAGATACAGGAGTATACATGAATTTATACACAAACTCTTTACTGAGAGGGCCTACACGGAATAACACTCCAGTAGCAATGAGCATTCCCAGCACCCAGAACTTAGTTTTAAATACCAAACTCAAAGATGATACTAAGCTTCTTGGAGAAGGGGCTGTGCAGGGAAGCTGCAACATGAGCTTGTAGCATCTTGCACCAGAAAGTAAGGAAATACTCAAAAAATAAAAGGATGGGGCCTGGCTGGTGTGGCTCAGTAGATTGAATGCTGACCTGTGAACCAAAGGGTCACTGGTTCAATTCCCAGTCAGGGTACATGCCTAGGTTGTGGGCCAGGTCCCCAGTAGGGGGTGTGTGAGATCCAACCACACATTGATGTTTCTCTCCCTCCCTTTCTCTAAAAATAAATAAAAAAATTTTTAAAAGGATGTGAATATGTTAGAGGGATATAGGAAACAGCCTGAAACAATTCCCCAGAGTCATAGCTAGGACAATTTGAGCAACAAATGCAGCATTTGTTGAACAGTGCATCATTTACTGGGCAAATGTGGACTGGACTTAGTGACTTGCCTTCAACAAATAAAGCATGGAAAGAGAAAAATAGTAACTTAGCACTGGAGGAACCATGCAGACACTACCTTAAATAAGTGATCAAGGTTAATGTCATGTGGATATTATTTACCCTAGGACATGTCATGATGAAAAGGGAACTTCACTTCTGTGGTATTCTTTCCTATTAATTCTGATTTGATCATGAGAAAACACCATCATACAAACCCAAATTGAGGGACATCCTACAAAATAACTGACCAGAACTTTCAAGGTCATAAAAAAAAGAGAAGACTGAGAAACTCATAGACCAGAGGAGACAAAGGAGACAAAGGAGACATGATGAATTAATGCAATGGGGTGTTGTATTTGGATCCTTAATAAAAGAACATTGTAGAAACAGGTGAAATCCAGATAAAGTTCGGAGTTTAGTTAGTTAATGTACCAGTGTTTGTTTTTTAGTTCTGACAGATGTGTCATGGTAATATAAGATAGTAACATCAGAGAAATCTAAAATTGAGGTATACAGGAACTTTCTGTACTGTGGGAAACCATTCTGCATGGCATGGGCCCAGCCCCCAGTGCCAAACATTTACTGCCAAGTAATTTCCTAAAATCCATGCTAAACCTACCAAGGAGTAGCGTAACCTGTTCAACCACTTTTGCCTTTTCATTGGCAAATACCCCTTTTCTGTGATGTGATTAGCGGCATTGGCTCCTTTGTTTTCTGTAAAAGACAACCACCTTAAGCAACCTGTGCATAGAAAATAAGAACCATTATGTAATGTGCTGAGAAACCCAATAAAGGCTGGTCATGGCAAGGGCCATGGCTTTTGCTCCCCTTGAGAGAAAAGCCATGCTTGTCCCTTTTCCTCCACTGCACTTGGTAGTCTGTGTGAATGTCTCATTTCATCCATTATGATGTGGACACTGCAGGCTGGTGTCTGCATCACTGTACTACCTTGGCAACCTTTCTGTAAGTTTTAAATTATTCTAAAATTAAAAATTATTAAAGTAGGTTCCAAAACAGCATGTAGAATATAATTTCATTTATGAAAAAGCTCATACATAGATGTAGATATATTTATATGCATGGATAGGTGGGTCAGTAAAATGTTTATTTAAATACTAACAATAATAGGGTTTGGAGACATTATTATTTCTTCTTTACCTTTTTTTTCTCTATTTATTAAATTTTCTTTAATTGGCAACAATAACAATTAAATGCAACAATAAAAGATACTTTCTTCCCAGCTACTTTTCCTAAAATTATTTCTCTGATAATTTTTTCAGTCAGAAGTTTTATATGTATTTATCAAATGAAGTGGGGGAAAGATTTTTTTTTAAAGGAGACATCCGAAAAAAATAGAAGATATGTTTATGTGTCATAAAGGATTATTAAGTGATAGCAAAGTTCCAGGTCAACCAAATGAATAAAGCTGATTACAAGAAATATATACCATAATGTTTCATATTTATTGGTATTTGAAATTATCTACAGTGAGTAGTTACTGTGTCTGTCTATGCATACATATTTTCATAATAGTGATGGATATCACAGCTATAATTGGTACCTCAGTTCATATTTTTCAGTTAAAGTTCTTCCACATTTTCTGGATAATATAAATTGCTTGAACTTTATATTTTAAAATTTAGATGCAGCTAAGTCCTCTAGAAAAGAACTTATAATTAAATCATTATTGGGCATAATAACCTTTACATTTATTTAGTATATATTTTGAAGGACAGAAAATTTTTGTAGAACATAGGTTCTATCAGTCCCACAAAATAAGAGTAGGTAAAGAGTTCATGTCTCTAAATTTTAAAACCCTTCAGAAAAGTACATATGAAATTTGACATTTTTGTCTGAATTGTGTACCTGTATTTACCCAGAGGTTCAGAAAACATTAATATTTTCTAAAAAACAAACTGGCCTGAGTTCAGTGTTTTAGGAAATTTTTATATGATAATAGGATAGCATCTATATTTGCTTAGTACCTTCTCTGTGCCCAGCACTTACATACAGCTTGTCATTAAATCCTCAAAACAATTCTGTGTGGTATACATGATGTCAACCTAGTTTTATAAATGCAGAAACTAAGGCTCAAAAACAAAAATTGAGTAACTTGCCTAAAGTTGCATACCATTGGTATTAAATTTGCATTAAATTATTTGTAAATTAAACATTTAAAAAATTCTAACACTCCTATAACATTTAGAATGTTTTATGTACAAATTATTCTTCATATGTATAATACTCTTAAGTTCATAACTTTTGTATACGCTAATGTAAAAATTACTACAAATGGAATTATAATGAAATTTTTAGCAATAATTTGTAAGCTGCTGAATTTATTTTGTTATATTTAGGGAAGTTTTAAAACATCAGTCAAACCAGTTCTTTCTGCATACTTTGTCATTTTGATGTTAAGAGGTTCAGGTTGCTGCTTTATGCTTCAGAACAGTGATTTTCAACCTTTTTCATCTCCTGACAAACAATTTCCTAAAATTCTGTGGCACACCAAACAACATATTTTTTTACTGATCTGACAAATAAAATAGGTGTAATTTGATTTATTTACACCACATGACTATTGGTGTGCTGGCTGTTATTTTTTTATTTGACAGTCTAAGGAAAGAGTTCATGCCACTAACTAAATAGGCATTGTACATTTTAAAAATTCTTTGGCATACCCAGTATGCCACAGCACACAGGTTGAAAATCACTGTTTTAGAGTAATTCCATTTAATAGCCACTTAGTAATTATACCCTTGTACTTTCTATTTCAGTCAGAAAATGTAACTGTAACAAAGGATATTAGAAGAGTAGAAAATGCTTATCACATGGAAGCAGAGGTATGTACTTACCTTAACAATTGAAAACAGCATGACTTTGTGGGGACAATTTACATTTATTTTTATTCTTGAACTGAAATGGACAGAAGAAATGCTTCTCATGGTATTGATAAAAGGTTATTTTTCTCACAATCATTTTTGATGTTACATACCTCTTTTCAAATTTAATGAGATGTACTTAAGAGAAATTTTTGAAATGAAATAAAAATAACAAGGGGGAAGTAGCAGTTACTTGCCACCTGAATAAAATTTTAGTAATGTTATTACATACTAAGCAAGGAGCACTACAGAAGGCACATTTCTTCTTAGATAAAAAGCAAATTAATATAACAAGGGATCAAAACACTCTAACATTCTTTTGTTTCACAATGCAATTTCACTGTGTTGTGGTAAGTTAAGAAGAACAAAATATTTTAGTATGCTCAATTAATGATAACATTTAGCTCCTACAACTGCCTATACTTTTTACTTATCTTTAAAGATTTTATGATCAGGATTTTATGAAATCAATGTATGTTAAAACAGACTGCTATCTGTTTCTGATTTGGAATATCTTGGGGTATGTGCTTGGTCCATGCTGCTGCCTTGCCACAGGAAACAAGAATGGAGTAAGACCACCCCACAAAGACAAAAATCCAATTAAAAATGGGCAAAAGACTTGAACAGACACTTCCTTCTCCAAGGAGGACATACAGAGGGCCTAGAGACATATGAGAAGATGCTTATCATCGCGAGCCATCAGAGAGATACAAGATACAAATTAAAACCACAGTGAGATACCACTTCATGCCGGTTAGAATGGCCATCATAAACAAGTGTTGGAGAGGATCAATAAATATCCAAGATAATTTACAATAACCAAGTGCTGGAAGCAACCTAAGTGCCCATCAGCAAATGAGTGGATCAAAAAACTATGGTACATTTACACAATGGAATTCTACAAAGCAGAGAGAAACAATGAGCTTACACCCTTTGTGACAGCATGGATGGAACTGGAGAGCATTATGCTATGTGAAATAAGCCAGGTAGTGAGGGACAAATACCATACGATCTCACCTTTAACTGGAACCTAATCAACAGAAGAAAAAATCAAACAAAACATAATCAGAGTCATTGAAATTAAGAACAATCTAACAATAGCAAGAGGAGAGGGGGTAAGGGGGGAGAGGGGAGAAGGGTTTTCAGGAACTACTATAAAGGACACATGACAAAACCCAGGGGAAGAGTGGAAGCAAGGGAGGGAGGTGGGTTTGGCGGGTGTAGGGGTGGCAGTGGTGGGGGAGGAGAAAAAGCAGACAACTGTAATTGAACAACAATAAAGTAATTATTTAAAAAAAAGAATGGAGTTAGAATGGAATCTTGTATATCTAGTCAAGAATCTTTGCCTTTAGAGGTGGGAATTATCTCAGAAATCACCTAGTCATACCTTCAGCAGATAATACATTATTTTTCTGATTTTAAAAGATGTGACCTTAGGCTCAGATCACTTAGTCTCAGACTTCTCAAGTGTCATGCTACAATAATTAGAATGAAATGGATATTAGAATCCTGGCTCCTTACCTCTGAGATAGTCATTTCCACAATACATTGTTGCCCCAATAATTAACCTAGCAGTTTTGTGATTTCTTTACTTAAAATTTAAGTCTCTCAAGAAATTTAAAAATTTCTCATGATGAGTTTAGGGATTCAATTATTTTGTACTAGTAGGGACTTAAAAATACCTTTTAAAAAGGATGAAGAGAGCAGTCTGGTAAGATCTGTATTACAGAGGTCAACAGCTGCTATTTGTTCTAGCACTCCTCTGGTAGTTATTACCGCTTAGTTGTAGTGAACATAGATAGGCTCATGATATCTTAGTTAATGGGATTTATTGTGAGGGTACACCAAGAACTAAGGGTAAGTGGGGGGGCAGGAACAGCCCCAGCAATCACACAGCCAGGCTTCATGGAACACTGGAATGTGTTTTTCAGATTAAGTAGTAGGGACTGGCCCTCCAGGAACAGAAGTACATTAGAGCTATGTGTTTTATGTAAGACATGACTAAACAAGGACTTGGCTAAATTCTACTTATCTTCTTTCTGCTGTATTACATTTTTTAATGTCTTATATGCAAATTTCTTGAGAGAATCTGATTATATTTTATATAGGGCTCCTGGTAGACAGAACTCATATCACACATGATTCTGCTGAAGTAACATCAGCAGTCCACAGAGACCAAGGTGGTGGGCTCACGAGGTAAAGAACAATGTATGGATTTATGGCTATGGACATAGTGAATACTAAAACCTAATGTCTTACATATACCAGTATTCTCATGGGCAGTTTAATATATAGATTAAGATTCAATAGTAGAATATTATTTTCATGTAATTTCTGAAATATTTATCCTGAAAGGCACTTTAAAGACTGCTTATCTGAGACTTCCGCCAAGATGGAGGTGTAGGTGGGAACACTGTGCCTTCTCGCACAACCAAGTTTAAAAACAACAAAGTTTTAGCAACAAAAACGCAGCCAAGCCACAGAAAATTAAACTATATGGAAGTCTGACAACAACGAACCCTTCAGCCAAACTGGTAAGAGGGGCAGAGCCAGCAGCAGAGCGGGGACGGGCAGGAAAGATCCACCAGATTGGCCTCGGGCACACCAGGCTCGCTGGCAGCCGTGGGCAGATCCCAGGTGTGGAGTAGCGGGCGGACCTACTGAGGGCAAAAGATGGCAGGCTGACCTCCGTCACACATTCACGCGCAGATAAACCAGGTGAAGAAGCAAGCAGTGAGATGGGCCACACAGGCCCCAGCGGCAGGAAGCGGCAGAGGGGACCGCCATTGTCCCTCTCTGACCTTGCCACCACATACAGCATCACAAACCAGCGACCTGGGTGGGCCCACCCTGGTGAAGACCTAAGGCTCCGCTCCCCATACGTAACAGGCGCAAACAGACCAAAAATGGCTCAAGAACAACTCAGAGCCCCAGAACCCATAATTCTAAGCAACCAAGAGATAGCCAAACTTTCAGATGCACAGTTCAAAACGCTGCTGATCAGGATGCTCACAGAACTGGTTCATTTTAGTCACAAATTAGAGGTACATAGGAAGGCTAAACTAATTGAAATGAAGGGAAATGCACAGGAAACCAATAGTGATGGAAAGGAAACTGGGACTTAAATCAAAGGAATGGACCAGAAGGAAGAAAAAATAACCAAACAAAAATATGAAGAAACAAGAATTCAAAAAAATGAGGAGAGGCTTAGGAACCTTCAGGACATCTTTAAACGTTCCAACATCCGAATCATATGGGTACCAGAAAGAGAAGAGAAAGAGCAACAAGTGAAAAAGTTATTTGAACAAATAATGAAGGAGAACTTCCCCAATCTGGCAAAGGAAGTAGACTTCCAGGAAATCCAGGAAGCTCAGAGAGTCCCAAAGAAGTTGGACCCAAGAAGGAACACTCCAAGGCACATCATAATTACATTAGCCAAGATTAAAATGAAGGAGAGAATTTTAGAAGCAGCAAGAGCTAAGGGGACAGTCACCTACAAAGGAGTTCCCAGCAGACTGTCAGCTGATTGCTCAAAAGAGACCTTACAGGCAAGAAGGGGCTGGAAAGAAGTGTTCCAAGTCATGAAATCCAAAGACCTACAACCAAGATTGCTCTATCCAGCAAAGCTTTCATTTAGAATGGAAGGACAGATAAAGTGCTTCTCAGATAAGATCAAATTCAGGAGCTCATCATCACCAAGCCCTTATTATATGAAATGTTAAAGGGACTCATCTAAGAAAAAGAAGATAAAAAAGATGAACGGTGAAAGGACAGCAAACTCAGTTATTAACAACCACACCTAAAACAAAAGCAAACTAAGAGGGAGCAGAACCATAGATATGAAGATCACATGGAGGGTTAGCAACAGGGGAGTGGAAGAAGGAGAAGGGGGGAAAGGGTACAGAAAATAAGTAGCATAGACGGTAGGTAGAAAATAGGGGGGAGGGCAAGAATAATATGGGAAATATAGAATCTAAAGAACTTGAGACATGTGGTCATAAACTAAAGGGGGGGAATGGTGGGGAAGGGGGTGTGCAGAGTGGAGAGGAATGAAGGGGGGAATAGGACAACTGTAATGGCATAATCAATAAAATATATTTTAGAAAAAGACTGCTTATCTAACCTTCTACTTACCATGCTATTTCTTCTTATTTTAAAGATAAGAATATTGAAAGTAATAATTCAAATGACTTCATTAAGGGTGGATGCGTGGTAGTTATGCGTGGGGAGGGAATTGGATTAAAACCTTCACTTTGCAATTTTTATATCTCTTTTTTGTTGTCATTGTTGCTTTCTTTTCACAATCTCAGTGTTAGGAGAAATATCCAAAAAATTCAAGAGTAGAAGACTCTTAAACTTGTTTTATGAAAGCAGCATTATCCTAATTCTAAAACCAGATAAAGACACTACAAAGAAAATAATAGGCCAAAATCCTTGATGAACGTAGATGCAAAAGTCCTCAAAAATATTAGCAAATTGGATCTAGCAACACATTAAAAACATTATACACCATAATCACATGTAATTTTTTCTAAGGATGCAAGGTTGGTATATTACCAAAAATCAATAAATGTGATACATCACATAAACAAAATGAAGGATTAAAGTCACATGACCATATCAATAGATGCAAAAAAAAAAAGGCATTTAATGAAATCCAGCACCCATTTATGATAAAAACTCTCAGCTATGTGAGAATAGAAGGAATATACCTAAATGTAATAAAGGGCATATATGACCAACCCACAGCCAACATCATACTCAGTGGGCAAAAACTGTTTCCCTTAAGATTGGGAAGAACACAGGGATGTCTACTTTCACCTCTCTTATTCAACACAGTACTAGAAGTCCTATCCACAGCACTCATACAAAAAGAAATAAAAGCATCAAAATTAGAAAGGAAGAAAAACTCATTATTTGCAGATGACATGATACTGTATGAGTTTATAGAGAACCCTATT